AACTTTGCAGACTTGAAGAAATGTATTTAATCTGGATATTTTTTTTTTTTTGGCGGAATATAATATACAGCCCCAATTCCAAAAAATTGTCGTGCAAGTTGTAAATAAAAACAGAATGCAATAATATGGAAATCTCATAAACCCTTAATTTATTCATAACAGAACATAGAAAACATATCAAATGTTTAAACTGAGAAAATGTATTATTTTAAGGAAAAAATGAGGCAGTTTTGAATGTCATGGCAGCAACACGTATCAAAAAAGTTGGGACAAGGCCATGTTTTCCATCGTGTGGCATCCCCTCTTCTTCTAACACCAGTCTGTAAACGTCTGGGGACTGAGGAGATCAGTTACTCGAGTTTTGGGAGAGGAATGTTGTCCCATTCTTCTCTGATACAGGATTCTAGTTGCTCAACTGTCCTAAGTCTTCTGTGTCGTATTTTTCGTTTTATGATGCGCCAAATGTTCTCAATGGGTGAAAGATCTGGACTGCTGCCAGGCCGGTTCAGTACCCAAACCCTTCTTCTACTAAGCCATGATGTTGTAACTGATGCAATGTGTGGTTGGCATTGTCATGTTGGAAAATGCAAGGTTTTTCCTGAAAGAGATGTCTTCTGCTTGGGAGCATATGTTGCTCTAGAACCTGGATATACTGTACCTTTCAGCATTGATGGTGCCTTTCCAGATATGCAAGCTGCCCTTGCCATATATACTAATGCACCCCCATACCACCAGAGATGCTGGCATTTGAACTGATCGCCAATATCACGCTGAGTGGTGCTTCTCCTCTTTAGTCCAAATGATACGGCATCCCTGGTTTAGATTCGTCTGACCACAGTCCATTTTAAATGAGCTTCGGCCCAGAGAATTCGTCGGTGCTTCTGGATCATGTCCAAATACGGCTTCTTCTTTGAATGTTAACTGTGGATCTGTGGATGGCACGGCGAATTGTGTTCACTGACAATGTTTTCTGAAAATATTCCTGAGCCCATTTAGTGATTTCCATTACAGAATCATGCCTGTTTGTGACGCAGTGCAACCTAAGGGCCCAAAGATCATGGGCATCCGTACGGTTTTTCGGTCTTATCCCCTACTCACAGAGTATTCTCAGAATCTTTTGATTATATTACGTACTGTAGATGATGATATATTCAACCTCTTTGCAGTTTTATGTCGAGAAGCATTTTTCTGAAATTGCTCCACTATTCGTCGCCACAGTAACAGGGGGATTTTACTTGTGAGATACACGGCAACTCTGAGATGCTTTTTTATATCCAGTCATGTTACTGACCTGTTGCCAATTGACATAATTAGTTACAAAACGTTCCTCCAGCTGTTGATTTTTTGTATCACTAAGTTGTTCCAACTTTTTTGAGACGAGCTGCTGTCATGAATTTCAAAATGAGCCAATATTTTTCATGAAATAGCAAAATGTCTCAGTTTAAACATCTGATATGTTTTCTACGTTCTGTTGTGAATAAAATATGGGTTTATGAGATTTCCATATCATTGCATTTTGTTCTTATTTACAATTTGCACAACGTCCTAACTTTTTTGGAATTGGAGTTGTACAGAGGTGTAACACAATCATCGTTGCAAACCTGTACTCAATAAGAGGTTGGAAGATAGGTGGAAACCACTGGACTATTTTATTAAAAAAACCACAAAAGATGAAAAATAACATATAATGCACAAAAGCATGTAACATATGAACATTCGCAGAAATGAACAAATTCAGACCTAGACTTACACAGATATTACATAGTAAAGATTTTCACATTTTATACGTTAAATATACATGAGACTACAGGTCACCTGAATCAAAGAGGTCTTCCGAGCAGAATATGCAAATAAAGTTTCCTACAGAATAAATTCCAAACTTCTACCAGCACACAGAGTAAGAATGAAATTGCTCATCTGTTTAACATTTTTAAAAGCTTGCGTTTTCTGTATATTAATTAACACCTCAGCAAGTAGCCCATGTAATCATTCAGAATGAGAGGAGCATGCTGTCTTAAGGGCACCACAAAAGATGCAGTCTGACCAGTGGAAAGATAACGAGTCTTACTGCCTTTCTTCAAAATCTGAATTTTTTTTAATTAGCCCTTTATTCTAAAATAGACCATATAGATGACAGTGAAGCCTTGACTGATAGTATTGATTTTTTTTATTCCGGTTGATTTTTTTCATAATTGCAGGAATGAAAAAAAAGAAGGAAAAAAAAATGCAATTTCGTCAAACTAAACTTGATCCTTTTAACTGATAACAATAAATAGGTAGCTTAGGAACCGATTGCTAAATGTGAAAATGTTCATCACTCTACCCACTAGGTTCCATACTGAGACAAGGAGGTGAATTTAAGCTCAATATTGAACACGGCCCCTTCATTATGCCATGATTCAGTGAATACAGCCATTTGACTCTATACCAACAGTGACGTAGTCTATGTGGGCGCATATATGGCAAAGTCAGCCTTTCACATAGGGTATCTTTAATGCTAAGTTATTCTAGTATCTGATCTAAAACAATGATTATTTAGATGATAGCGAACAACGATTACAACTCAAAATGATGCTGTTTTTCCCACAGCACTAATCTGACGGGTAACAGAAGTATTTTACAAAAAGCATTTTAATCAACGTACTGTAGTTATCGTAAAAACTATTCTCCTATTTCATCAATATGGGATATTCTATAATTTGTTTCAGTTCTCTGGGTATAAAAATTACACCTCCTAATTTAGAACACCGTATAAATAATGAACCAAAAATGCTTAAAAATTAACATCAAATATCAGCAGAAACATACCGTAGCTCTACAAATGATAATGAGAATCGGATACACACAAGAGAAGAAACAGGAGAACGTGTTAAATGATGTTAAGCCCATTAAGACACATTTAAGAGAAGTGACAGCAATCGAGTGTATCAACCGTTTTCTTAATGTGATCAACAGTACAGCAGAGTGATCAAGCTGGTACGTTTGATGCCTCACGCCCCTGAGCTCCACACTGGCCCACTATCATGTGGATGCTCTTCCCATCTTCATTTCGGTTTCCTCTGGGGACTCCTCTCCTCCCACTGCACTACAGCATGAAGTTCAACAGAAGTGGTGACTCCAAATTTCCCGTAGCGTACAACAGCGTACGTGGGTGAACGTGACTATCCAGATCAGGAGGCTTATTGCAAATATCTGCTCATGTTTCAAACGAGCCGTTATTCAAAACAGATGGATGAATGGATTTTTCCATCACTTGAGGATGATACAACCAGAGTTCAACACCATGATGAATTCTGATGCATATTTTTACGCATATTTTTACCTTGGACATTGTACATAAAAGATGTAGTCCATGTTTTTTTTCCTCTCAATCAAAATATTTTACCACTGATACAGACGTGTCTTGTCACGGACAGGTTCACAATCCCAGCATAAAACCCATTGGTGGTGTTGTGAATTAATCTGAACTAACTTTGATAGAACTTTCTTGGGACCTTAAAGAGAGGTCAGTGAAACACCTTCTAATAAAGAAACGTAATCATTATGACAGAACTTCCACTTTACTACACAGTAGTAAATAGTCTCTTTAAAGTTTTTCGGTAATTGAACTGCTTCAGGTTTTGAGACATACCTTTGTTTTGCAGCACATGACTGTACAACAATGACTGCTATAAAGACCAGGGAAAACACTGTAGATCTGAGCTGCAAGTGTAAGAAGATGAGATGACAGAAATCTAGTTATTGGTCATATCAGCACAGTTACGGTAAGTTGAAAATAAGTTGTGATATTGTTTAAGTTTTGACTAATTCACATGCTTTAACCGGCACACACAGTTAATGATGGAGACAGCAGTGAATGTGTTATTTCATGTCCGCAGTTTTCTGTAATCTGGAGAACTAGTCTGCCAGAAAAGGAAATATTTTAACCACTTGTCTTATGTGAGTAATGCGTGCCTTGGTCTACTTTCTGAGATACAGTCATCGGTAACTGCAGCAACACAGTTTGACACATTTATAAAGAGGTGGAAATCACAACTTGCAGAAAATGCATTGATTCTAGGTGGCCCAGGCAACTCATTGTGCTCTCTTTGGAAAGCGTAGAAAAACGACCACCACTGTCACTGTTGAACGGTATGATGAGTAACAACATGTGTAAAGATGCTTTGGATAAGTCGCATCACACGAGACCTAGAGAAAGGTTGCCCTGTGGTGAATGCACATGCTCGTTGTGGGAGCGTATGTAATGTGCCTTGCAGTTTATCGCTCAAGTAGGTCACTGAAGACTTTGCTTCCCATGACCAGAAGAGGGAGCTATATGGAGATGGACAGATATATATATATATATATATATTTCCTCAGTGCCTGTTCAAGAGTTTATTAAAGAATGGTAATTATCTTAATGGAGAAAGGCCTTTGTGATACTCAAAATTAAATAAATTATTAGTGGTTAGCACTGTCGCCTCACAGTGAGAAGGTCCTGGGTTCGATCCCCGGGTCACCCAGGGTGCCTTTCTGTGTGGAGTTTGCATGTTCTCCCCATGCATGCGTGGGATTCTTCCGGGTGCTCTGGTTTCCTCCCACAGTCCAAAGACATGCAGATTAGGTCGACTGGCTACTCTAAATTTCGCATAGTGTGTGGCTGTTTGTCTGTGTTGGCCCTGTGGTGGACTGGCGGCCTGCCCAGGGTGGACCCCACCTCTTGCCCAATGGTGCTGGGATTGGCTCCAGCTTCCTCGCAACCCAGATGGATAAAGTGGTATAGATAATGGATGGATGGATGGATTTTTAAAGGATGGTACTCGATGCTGAAAATTCAGTGACTGGTTGATGTAAAGCCTGTAGTTTTGGGCTCTGACTGTGAATTTCTTAGTGTTGAAGGATTGCCGAATAACTCCTAAAAAAGGCCTGCTTTATAATAATAATAATAATAATAATAATAATAATAATAATAATAGTAATGATAATAATAAAATGTGCAGTATTACTCCATAATACCCATGTCTACATGAAAGATAAACAGAAAAAGGTGATTAATAGGATAATGAGTATCAGGGATCATTCCATTTCTGTACCCACTTGTTCTCTGCAGGGCTGTAGGGGTCCAGAGTTCACAGGTGGGAATTACCTAGGATGGGGTGCCAAACCAATATAAGGCACACACACCATTCTGCAACTCCAATTCAGCAGGAATAGCTGGAGGTACCCCCACAATGCTATAGGCATGAAGTTAAGGCAGAGACTCGGGTGCCGGTCCCAGAGACCAAAGCAACAGTGCAAACCACAATTTTTAAATAAATTTATTTGTTTTTCCCCATTTTTTGCATGCACAAACAATCTAATACATAGCATGTAACAGTACCATTACTCACGAAACTCATGAATCACCACTATACTAGCTGTCCATTCAGAGGTCATCCGCAGCACTGGACTGACGCAATAATTAAACTACTGCTAGTCTAAAATACATTCACTCTGCTATTTGTGTAATAGAACCTAAACTGCACGTGATTTATACTGACTTAAAGGTTTCCAATGTATTCGATTATAAAAAATACATTATTGCAGAACGGTATATGTCAATATAACTTCTAAATGACAATAAACATATCATCTCTCACAAATTAATATACATTTTTTATGTAAAAATAGTAAATGTATACCCATTACAGATAGATGTGTGTATGTCTACATACATCTCATTTTCTAAAAAGGCTACTGAAGGATCAGCTTTGATGCGCATTACGTTAAGTCCTGTAATCGATCACCGAGTCCGCCACGGTGCAGTGCGTCGCGGATGATCTGTTTCTCTGCGTTAGACCAACTTCCCAGAAAAGCCGCTCGGTCCGCTCGCCTGCCTCCGAAGATGGAGGAAGTAAGCTAGGGATTAACTGCCACCGCTGCGGTCGCGCTACCCTGCAATGTAGGCTATGCCAGGCTATGCAAGAAATCTGGAGGAAAACCGTTTGTGCAATGCCTGGCCACCGTGACACTTCGGGATATCTTCATATCACGTCCTGTTAAGGTAACGCCGTATAATCGAAGTATCTAAATAATGCACGGGAGAATAATATACTGTAATAATTGCGACGGCCGCTCGGCACCGAAGCGACGTCGAACTGCCAAATAACACCATACGCTGTGGTTTTACCTCTGCAGAGAGGGCTGCGCCTCTGCATTTGCCGAATGACAGCTCGTAACAGGCGATCGGATCACTTGTTGCTCAACTGCATGGACGATAGCAGAGAAGTTGTGACATGTGGGGATCCCTGCAATGTGCCGGCTTCTCCTGAGCCCTTCAGATCTCTGACCGGTTACTATAAGAGATCCATTACTCAGTATAAATACTGCCAGGTGTAGCTGCAGTAACGTTTTTAAATTGTACACGCACACACACACCCGGCATCCCGAATTAAAACATCAGACTGGGTCAATAATGAAGTTAAGATGAGTCAATGAGTCAAGAATAAAGAAGTATGCGCTATTAATCCCAGAGGAAGATTTGTATGAAAATGATTACTTATAGGCTCACGTTGTACCTGGTCTCATGTGGATCACCGCGCAACTCTTAACTCCTTAGGCTCGGACAAAGTAACACCGGGCTGCTCCCTCTGCCAATTCCTTAAGAAAACCGGTGCATCCAGTTTTCCGTCTCTTTCTTCTAATATTTTTTTCTTTAGCTGAGCGCGATCACCGGCGTCTTCTCTCGATCCATTGGTCACAGTTAGTTAGTCGGTCGGTTGGTTGGTTAGTTGGTTAGCGGGCGGTGTCGTCATTTGTGTGTGAAAAGGCGAAGGGAAAGCAGCCCTCCGCAGGTGCGGGGGGTCGCCTTAAGTGGAAAAGTTGACGGGCTGGTTTTACTCTGGAGGAAGTCAGGCAGCAAGCGCTCTTCAGGTCTCTCTCTCTCTGTCTCTCTCTCTCTCTCTCTCTCCGCTCCTTTCAAATTTAGTCGGGGAAGAGGCTCGTTTCATGTTGCACCTAATTATTACTTTTTCCTGTATCCGTTTGTCTCGTTTTTAAACATTGGGGACATTTTAAAGGACGTAGGCTATTGCTTTAACATATCGGGGAAGCGAGACGAACCGGGGAAATAGCGATAATTAACCCGAAATACATAATAAGTCCAATATAAAGTATCATTTTTCGCCTGTAATTTATTTTATTTATTATTGTTTTACAAGAACGGGGCCGTCCCTTGAAGTCTCTCAAAAAGCGGTGGAAAAACGACACAAGGTAAAGCCTTTGAATGAATTATTTATACGCTTCTACGCTGTTTGCGCTTATAATATTGCAACAGAGCGGCACCTGAATGGGGGGCAGACCTGTGCGAGGATCGGTCATATTCCTAGACTCTTAACCACTTTTACCCATCAAAACACCCCTGGTCATAACTTGTTACCTATACCAATTACTGTGATATTGGGATTAAAGTGGCCTGGACTCCCTTTTTAAATGTTACATTTTCTTCATGTCATTTAATTTGATGCATAGTGTCATGAGGGCTCACTGTGGCCATCAGTCATCAGACAGGCGTGTGGTAAATGACAAGTGGCATCCTCGATCTCAGCCAAGTTTGGACCGAAACATCGGGCTGTGTGTGAGTAACATTTCAAGGGGAATCGGCTTATTAGGTTTAGGGTCAGGTATTCCCCCCCAGCCGCCTGTGCTGCGTGTCTCTCCTGTCACTCTGAGCACAGTGTGGAGACGTGCTGCGACATGAGACTGCCTGTCATACAGCATAAAAATAATGCTAATGACCCGCAGCTCGCGTCTATCTCGGGTAGTGTTCAGTCTGGCAGCAGTTCTCTTGGTTTAAGGTGACCGCCGAACCTCTTACAGGTCTATAGCATTAAGCTGAAATGTGTCCGTAACGCTGGGATATGCTACCTCGTGGAAAACCTAGATGATCGACTCAAATTAAAAGCCCTCCAAGATAATATTTATAAGCATCGTCGTATTGATGATTAAATTTTAATATTATGTAAATATTACGAAATTATATCTGTCCCTGAGGTTCCTGTGCCGTGACATTGAGTATAAGTAGTTTCATAGTTTTGTAAAAGTTTTGAAACTTTTTTTTTTTTCCTCCAGCACTACGAATGATTATTAGCGTGTCATGTGTGAAATAACACCATAGACTGTACTTTTACTGTTAATATTTTGTGGTGCTTCGACAGAAAAGCTTCCTGTTAAACTGTACTAAGCACTCTGTTCTGCCTGCCTTTCTGGACTGGGCCTTAATTGCTTACCGCCCAGGTCTCCCTGTAATCTGATGGCCATACGTGACAATGTGGCTGTCAAATTTGCTGAAACATCTGGGTATTAGCTCGAAGGACTGGCTCTCCGTGTGTCTCCCTTAAGTGGGATATGAGGTGTGGGTACCAGAGTGGACTGCAAATTAGATAATTTCAGTGGTCAGCTGGTCAACAGGACAAGGGACTTCGCTTTCCATGCCATTCACAAAAATATCTTTGTTGTTGTTTTGAAATGTGTCCATATTTAGCTCCGTCAACCCAATGTAGCATCAGCTGTCACTTTTTAATAGCCTATATTTACGATAACCTTTTAGCTACTCATTTAGGTCTATGTTAAGTCTACGTCCGATTTGCATTAAGACCTAGTTGCACCTAGATGAATGTTTGCAGAGGCTTGACTGCGAGAATTAGCATGTTGATAATTAATAAAGAAGGGAAGTGAACGAGAGCCAGAACTGCAAGGAGAAAGTCCTTGTCGTAGAGAGGTTTGCACCACCCCGCATGTGTTAAATGATGCAAGCGGTGAGGCTTTTATGACCGTGAAAGACCAATACCAGAAATGAGTGCAAAACGAGGCCTTCAACTGTGGGTAATTAGAGCTTTGATGATTTACCAGTAAAACTGGAATAAGTCAGACTCAGGAGGGGTGTATGAAGAATGTTTTTTGTCTGTATTTTCCCCTTTAGGTGTAGGCTAATATTATATATTTATTGCTGTCATGTAAATAGCTTCAACCTTTCTTTACTTCGTAAATGAATTGTGATTTTCACAGTTCAGTCTACACCAGAGGCAGAGACTCCTTCTTCCTTTACCAGAAGAATATAAAATACTTTTATCTTATTTATTAGCACTTCATTGATAATCATGGCTAAGAACAGTCCAGATACTCTAAGATAGTAGTAGTAGTAGTAGTAGTAGGAATGCCTATGCAATAGTGTTGTGTGATTGAGCTCATAGTAATGATGTGCATTGCAATATCTCTCAGGGGTCCCTGACATCCGCAGTCTAGTAAAAAATGAATATATGTGTTTTCTCTCTTTTAGATTATTAGATTAGGCATTTTAGGGGGCCCGTGTGCACCTTGCTTTCAATATTTCAATACGTCGGATTTTTTTTTTTTTTAATAGTTTTTTTTTCTTTTCAACTTTCTGGCGAATTTTCTGGCAAACACCTTGATGCTGTTTCACAAGATTCTCCGCAGTCTGTCATTACCCGATGGCTTTTTAAATGATTGTTTTTTTTTATTATTGTAACTTGAATATGAATCACTGCTATTTTTAGAACCTGATTGTCTAAGGAATCTGCTGTCCTGTTGTCTGGTATTGTGCTACACAAAAACACTGTGAACCAGGCAACATATTTGGCAAATAAAATCATCATCTGTTTATGGAGTGTCCTGTGTTGTGTTAAACTCGGGGCAACAGCATGCTGGTGTTCTGCATTTAGAGGTTGTTCCCTGAGGATTAGTATTGTTGAATAGATGAGGTAATCATTGAATTCCCCTTATAACCCATATACCCTAATTTACCCTTAAGAATTAATTACTTCTTCTCTTTGACATAGATTCATTGAGTCATAAACCTACCTTCTCACCAACCTTATGCTGAACAAGCGTAGCTCAGTCCTCTACATAAACCTAAAATAGTCAAATTTTATAATAATGTAACATAAGCAGTGAGTCTTGATAGATGTTTGTATGACCAGATATGTTGCATGAATGTGGAAAGTGTGACCGTGAATAGCTTATTAATGTGATGTTGTTTTGTTATGTGTCCCGGTTGGCGGCTCATGCCAAGACGGATTGTCCTGTATAAGAGCTAGCCTTTAGTACGGCTACCAGAAATGCATAAAGCTGTTGGCTCGTAGCTGAATTGAAGAAGCTGCTCGCTGCTTTCTTTCACCCGTGCTGATATGCTTATTTGAAGAGCAGCGTAGTGGATTGTGTCAGTGTTTTTCTTGCGGCCTGTGTTTTATTCACAAGGAATAGCATTAATTACAGGTTATATAAAGATAGTACGGGAATTGTAAGCACATGGAACTTTCAAGATATTATGTGAAGGATGATATGTAATTAATGTTTCAAAATGGGAAGCATTTCCCCGGACATTCCAGCTTTGCTACAAGCACAGAGGATCGATAAAGTGCTGCATTAAAGACCTACCTTTCCATGCTATGGATCATTGTATTAGGCCACTGTTAATAATTAATCGACTTTTGATCATTGTGGTAGCTGCAGTATAACGTTGTTACGTAATGGAATTATCAATTAAGTGTGTTTGCCTGATCTTTTTACGCTTCTCGAGTTCCTGAAAGGGTTTTTATGCGCAAATGGCTCCTTTTCTTACCTGTCATGCGAGAAATCGAAAAGAAAACACGCTGCCCTCACTGTATGTTTCAGTTAGAATATCCTTTCAAGTGTGTTTTTGTCTTGGTGTTTGTGGAAAGCTTTCAGTAATCGTTCCAGTCTTTTGGTGACTGCCATGTGCCCAAGGGAGGCTATAAGGCACTCAGAAAGGAAGATATGTGTACATATATTTTCATATTCTGTGATGTATCACAATCTCACAACACTTTCAGGAGCTTTAGTGAGGTCCTTCTTCATAATACAGTACAATTTCCTGGGTTTCACATTTGCTTTCATTCTCTTTTTATAGATTTTTTTCTGTCTACTACCAATATTCTAGTTGACATCGTCTATTAATAACTGTTTCTATCTAGTGCCATACCCTATTATTGGTTCCACCACGGAGTAAAACGTGATGTAAATGTAGACAGACATCTGCCAGCAACATGCTACTTATTGTAGTTAACTTCTCAGCAAACCAGAGAGCTCTTCCATGAAATGTGAGCACTCGCTCCCTCGTCCTCCAGTCGAGTTTGAGGTATCAGAATCACTAAGAGGCTTGACTGAAAGCTGAACCCAGTTGCCAAAAATGACTGACTTCTGTGAACCTCTTCAAAGCAGACTCCTCTCTCACGTCAAGTTAGCCAACAGTGACGAGGTCTGAGCCAGCATCCCTGGCTACTCTGGTCGCCATGGCGCAGTGATGGACATGAGGAACAGTGGTTCATGTAGGGCTTCCTGTTTCCTGATCAGCCCTTTTATTAATGCAGTGTCTCCCCTTGATTCCAACAGCCCGTGGCCCCTACTATGGAGACCGAGTCAACGGATGGGTACCTCGATAGTAAGTAAAGTTCGCTATTTTAATGTCTCTGTTTACTATTATTTTCCAGTTAAGTGCGTAATGGGAGTGTATTTATTTAATAGGGTGCGGAATGTGGAATGTGGGACTGTATTTCAGCCCAGTTAGCATGTTAGCTATAATGACGAGGGAGCGGAACTAAGAAGTATTTCCTATGAGCTGATCCTTGTTCGCTGAATGAAATGAAATGATGAACGAGTCTGAGGCATGTCTCTTAGGACACTTTCCTGTAGTTCTCTCCTGCAGTGGAATATCCTTGACAATCTAAGTTGATACTTTACGTCTTAAGGAACCTGTTGGGTGAGGGATCAAGGACGGATGAAGAAATATTTATTAATAGAATGATGAATAGATTGATTAGCCAGTTCACTAGGTTACGTTAAAATTATGTTGCATTACCTGTGCAGTAGAGATCAAACTATGTCCCGTCAATTGATTAAAGAGAATAGGATGTAATGGAACAAATAAATTATGGAATGAAAGCATAAATGTCAATTAGTACCTTGTGTTTGTCTCTTTCTTGTGCTTGTAGATTCGAGATGCATTAATCAGAGACATTTTTACATTGTACATTTGTCCATTTAACAGTAAATATGCCCAGGTGAGCTGAGCACTTAATATCAATGATTGAATTAACAGTCCAGACTAAATGAGAGAGCGGGAACACTCTCATGATTGCAAGCTTTGTGTTCTTGTTGTCGAGGGGCTTTAATTTTGGTTATGTGGTGATCACACTGTCCCTGAAAATTTATAGTTACTGTCCAATCTGTTCATGGTTATGCAATATTGTCCAAAAGTTTTTCCGTACTGCTTTCTGTTTTCACAATTTCTAAATCTACCTGAATAACACTCGTGCCACATAATGCATTTAGTTTTTGGGCGTTACAGTTTAATTTAATATTGACTTAAAATATGCACCTTTCTGCTAGTACAAAGTCCCAAAAGGTCTTAATTTTTTTTAGCAGATTGTGCACTTTATCATGTTCTTCAGTTAGTGTGCTGTTTCTTGTTTGCATTCTCCATCCATATTAACACCACATAGCACATCCCATGTGGGGCATGGATAAGGTCGGACCACTTTACACAGGTACGCATGGACACTAGCCGGGGATTAGTTTAGATCATAAAATAGTCATGTATTCACGCAAAGGTTGGTGGGAGATTGGAGTGAGCTTCCAAGTAGAGCTTAGGCCTTAAATCATTCAAGTTGGCAGTAGGTAAAACTGTGTCTCACTTAGTGTCTGAATGCCTAAAAGAGTTCCTGAATGTCCTCTCCTCATTCATAGCCCCTCTTATGTTCTACCTTTGGGTCCCTCAGCATGTACAGTGTGAATGAGGGTACACTTCCCTTCACTCAAGGAGCCAGTTACCATTGATAGTGTGGCTCATCTGATAAGGGTGGTGACAATATAAGGTACTTTTTTTGTGACCCCACTTGGTAACCCCATGGGAAAGCCGTCTGGCTGTTCTGAGAAACCTATTCCCTTGGCGGAGTGCTTTCTGTCACTCGGTGTCTTTTGAGTTGACTAAGGAGGCTCTCTCTGCTCGAGCCTTGGACACCGTTAGCCCGATTACTACTCGCGCCGTGATTTTCACTGCTCTATCATCAGTATAAACAGGGTTTTGTCTGGTGTTTCGATTAGACACCTTTGAGTAAACTGGCTTGTAAGCAATTTTCTTAACTACCTCAAAAAGCCCATGTCTTTTAGGCTGTAGTGGTATTTCAGAATCGAAAGACGCAGTCAAGCTTCTTCATTCACAGTGGCAGTGAGCAAGAGGGAATAACCATATTCTGTCATGAGGATATCTTAGTTGTCTAATGTAAGAGATGCATTTCTGGATAGGTGTCTGCACCTTATCTCAGTCCAGATGGTCCTTGGAGACAGAGATGCTCTTTAATGCCACATAAAGATGGTAGGTCTCGGCGTGTCACATGATTGATTTTTATCTAACTGCCACGACTCTGACAGGGCTGCATGGCGATGCTGCAGATGTGTAGAAGTGCGCTTGAGTAAATAAACAAGATTTGTCATGGAACAGTTGGTGGAAGCATCATGAGGCGCAGATGAACAGCAGTGCATCTCCACTCGATGTCTTTGCACGTCCCGCTTAATAACGCCTCTCACCAAGCTAATCGGCGCCGGGGGAGAGGCACTCCTGTGTGTCTTGTAACACGCTTCAATTAAAGGCACCTTCAGCCTGCTTTCAGCTCTTTGGGGTTTCAAATCTGCACCAACAGATTGACACCTAGAGCAGCTGGGGAGAATGGAAAGTTTTCGCTTAACTGAAAATGCCATTTCTAAAAAAGGCCGTTACGCATTATTAAATTCGATAAGAAAAAATAAATGTATTGACAAAAACAGAAGTTGAGCCCTTATCCTGAAAAAGTGGAGTTATGTTGGCTCCGTGGAGGTTTCTTATTTGAATCGTGCTATGGTACCAGTTTCCCTCTGGTACTTTAAACGTCTGTTTTGAGCGGCCCCCGCACCTTTCCCATCTCTCATATATCATTTGGGCGTAGTGTTCTGATAGACTGCTGAAAGAATGAAGGTATTCCCCAACCGGTTAGTGTGGAAATGTTTTCCCTCGGTAAACAACAATAGAGGGATTTGACTTTTGCATGTTAAACTTGATTGGTGAATCGTATTTGTGTGCAGCAATCTGTCTGTGAGGGGGTGAACTCTCTAGTTTATTGGTACTGATTGGAATGTCGCCGGCATCCATGTATTTCATGCGTTCTTATAAGCATCATCTACCCTGCAGTTCAGATGCTGCATAACAGCGTTAAATCATGTGAAGATTCCATTCCCGGTGAGCATTGTCAGATGGAAGCTTTACCTGCTCCACGGCCAAGCCCTTGCATTGACGTAGTCGGGGATGATTTTTGTACTTGTTCTTCCTGCTGTTTTCGACATCAAGACTTGAGGCTGTGGACAGTGGTGATGGGAACATGAACTGGGGCCACTGGGCTTGTTTCTGCATGGGAAAACTACCTAGTATAACCCTGTGTTCTGAGGCACCTTTTTACGAAGAACACACTGGCATATGTGAGTCAGGATTGATGAACTATCGCTGTAGCATTGGTCAGGGGACACAGCTTGACAGGAAAAACCTGATCCATGCTCCGCCTGCGCGTTCCCAGGATGCCTGAACCCACTGCTCTTTTGAATGGGGCCAACTCCTATCCAATTCCTCTCCTTTATTCTCACCAAAGTTCCTTATAGATCTCGGCACACATGACACAGCCGAAAAGAATTAAGGAAGGAGAGACGCATTGTTTAGCATCGCAATCCCTCTGAATCACCTTTGCAGCAAAATCGCCACAGTTAGTGGGGGGGGGATTTAAGTTCACAGGTTTCAAATTAATGAGTCGTTCTGTCAAATCATCTCCCCCTCAAAACAAGTGTTGAGTGGGCACGTACTCAGCCCCTGAAAGGTCAGAAAGCCCAAATAAACAGTGCCCTTGGTTTCTATCTACCTCTTTCTTTTTTTTTTTTATTTTTCAAAAGTATTTGTAAACACAGACTTTTTTTTTTTTTTTTAGACCTGCTTGAATGTATAGAGGCAGTGAGGCGCGATAGGATTCGTCTGCAGATGACTCCCTGTACGTCATTAGCGTAGCTTTAGCCGTTTCCCATTGAGCCATTGTTTTTTTGACTGGGCCCATGTCCAAATCCTCCTCGTCATCCAAGCCCACTTAACTTGCCTGGGCCTCTTGTCTCTTACTGGGCCACCACCTGCATCCATCTCCTCCATCTTGGCGTGTCCGGCAACGCTTAAGACTCTCCTCGTTTTACGCACGCAACTACATTCAGTTATCCAGCTGCCTGTTGATATGTTGCAGTCCCCTCCATTCCTCACTTTTCCCCCAATTCACCCACCTCTCACATGGTGATTTTTACAGAAATGTCTAATGCATGAATCCGTTTCCTATTGTAAAATGTTTTTTATTTGTTGTCATTTTCAGGTTTAAAACCTGTCCTGTAATATCATAAAAAAGGGTACAGCCCTGTTATAATGGTGTTCCTGAAGGTACAAACGACAGTAATGTACCCCCAGTGGTACAAAATAGTTCCTCAGAGTCCATTTCCGTACCATAAAAAGTACCTTTACCTACAGTAAGGTTATAAATAGCAGACGCTTGAGAGTACAGCCCCAGTGACAAGTAATTGTACCCTCAAAGGTACAAATTGGTATTTTTTACAGTGTAAGAATGGCAGTGTCATTAGGCTTTTGCTTCAGTTTTGGGTCTGTACCCATCACTGATCTCCTGCTGATCCTAACCCACCAGCAGCTAACGTGTCTAAGGGAAACATTACTGCATCTTGCCACTTAATATGGACCAGTGCTCTTGACCTTCAGGACCAGTAGGGATGGGAGGCCTTTGTACCGCTCGCTCTGTCATGGAAAATCCACCCCTCGGCTGAGGCCAAAATCCGGGCTAGCTCGGGCTCCCCGTTGCCAGGTGACAGCTTGTCACCGGAGATTAACCCCCCCCCCCCCCCACACACACAACCGCCCCCCCCCAAGACCAGTGTAACTGGAGCTGGCCTGGGCGATTGCGAAAGCCATTGTGTCTCCCGGCACACGCCCCTTCCCTTTCGCTCAGGCTACCGGTATGTCCCGCACAGGCACTGGAAGGAACAGGTATGCAGTGGCTGCTGCGGTGGCACCCTCTTCGCCGAGTGTTTGCCGCATGAGGAATCACAACACACCTCTAGTCTCACCCGTTTAGCCAGAATGGAACATTCCTCATCCCAAATCAACTCTGACTGGCAGCGATGGGAAAAATTGATGGGGCAGGTTTTATTGATTCATTGGTGATGGTAACACAAGAGGTATAATATGAAGGTAAGAATAGGAGGAGCCCTACAGTTACAGGTGTTTAACCATAATCGTGTCATCAGTGTCTGGCTGTACTACTTTAGTGTAGGATTGTCAGGTATATGAACTGAATTGGGTGAATATGCAGTGTTCATTTAATTGTCACTCCGATAATGGAGGGAAGCTCTTGACCACATAATTTACTGCAGTTCTTACCAGGAGAAGTACTTTGAATTGTATTTAAATAAATTTTCATGTTTCTTGGAGACTTTTTTTTTCTTCTTTTAATTAGATTTTCGAAATGTCAGGAGAATATCAGCAAGGAAGAGACTCTGGGCATAATATTGATGTTTTTCAGGCCATAATAATCCATGAGATTATTATAATTTTTTTTTTCATGAAGGAAATTAGGCCCAATGTTTGTACGAAGGGAACCCTGGGTATAGCGGCTGCTGGGGAAGATACCTGCACAGCTGCCACCAAAATGTTTTGAGATGTACTGAGTCACACAGAGCATTTCGAATGCTCAGTTGAGCACATGCGTCAGGAGACGTGCCCCATGGACCACAAGTAGCTGCCCTGACCAGGGCAGATGGAGAGGAAGCTCACTTAAGCCGCAACACTGCAGTCCCCTAATGCTTAGCAGACGTAGAAAATCATGGTTTGTGGAATGCCTCACACAGCGTCTTCAGACTAGGCTAAATGTGTCAAATGCTGTGAAGAAATTCTTCAGACCACCTTAGAGCTTGTTCTTTTTTTTTCGTTTGTGACACCACAAAAGTTGTTTGACAGTTCCTCAGTCAGTGTGCAGTTTCTGCAAATGGTAACGGGCACATGCAGAAATGGGTGTGTGTGTGTATGTGTGTGTGTGTATGCGTGCACTTAGCCTTTTTCAGACTACTGCTGCTCTGCAACCCCTTTTTTGAGATATTTTCGAGATTTTCTGGTCGAGCTTGCTTGCCACAGCAAAGGGCACATTTTCTTCCAGCAAAGTGGGAAAGCAACGCAAATGCAATCATGAGTCTGTGGTGATTAATTTTATCTAGAGATCCAAAGCTCGAGACAGTGCCGTCCTGTTTACAGTGGCAAAAGCATTCCAGCTGTACATGGCCGATCGCTGAGACGTTTGCAGCAGTCAGAGTTGACACTGCCCTTGTATGGTCTTTGTCTGCTTGAGGGTCCCCCTGGCCTGAGGTAGATCAGAGATAGGGGTCTTTTCCCGTTATCCGCCATAATTTAAGCTGAATACGTCAGGATGTAATGTGAACAGGTGTTAGAATCCCAGAACGAATCGTATTGGTGCGTAAAGGTAGGAGAAGAGAGTTGAGTCTCTTACTGTCTGTGGGCCAGCGGGCCAGCCGGCTGGGGAGGTCGCAATAAAACATCAATGTGACCCCCTCACTTGGTTTGCCTCTCCTACGTAGTGGTTTCATTTACTAGTTCAGACTTAGAGGGCAGCACACATAGAGCAAATAGCAAATGGTACTCAGCTGCAACCACAAGACTTACAATGGCACTGCTGGTGTTACGTAAAGTAGCTAATTAATTTGACTGTAATAAATAGCTGTAACAGGGAGTACAAATTAAGAAGAAAAGCACTAACATTCGATAATTCTCTTTGTATAGAAACTGAGGTAATGTAATGGCTTCCATTTCATCACCTCCAGATGATGATGAGCTATTTCGCTTACTCCCACGGTCTCTGAACCCTCGCGTGTACAGTAGTACTGCTTTCATCTCTCTTGTTGGTGGCTGTCTCCTAGGCAACGGAAACTGCTCTCCTGGGAAGGAGAAGTCGAGGATGCTGGCGGAGCTGACGGCAGGCACGCCAAACGGACAGCATACACACCTCCCGGGCTCCCCCATCTGTAAGTGCCCCGTTTGCCATGTTTGCCCGACGTCTGATCTCTCCCCTGGAGAGATGGGGTTTTCTGAGGAAACGTGGCCCTGTAAGAACACCTAAACGGTGATTAGTGTCACACGGCAAATCTTTTACCCATGAATCTTAGCATCTTTCTCCCGCATGGCTATATCTTTAGCATAGCGAGGTACGTTTTGTGTATTTGGTTAGAATCACAACAGTTGCTTAGTTCAATACTTTTGAAATAGCTTAATTAGCAGTGGATGCGTGTGATACTGTAGTAAGTTGCATAATGCTTCTGGGTAAAGTGGATCGAGAAGGACACGTACTCAAAGGAGGTGACACTCAATGACTTGAAACCCTTGAATATGGAGCCACTGTTTTGTACCTAAGGATCTGAATGCTGGAGGAAGCAAACCCTGGTCTCCAGTCTGAGTATGTGTCCTCCTTCCCTGTGAGGAGCTGGTATAGGCTATGGAGTCGAGCCACTCGCTTGGCTATCTGAACATCTGATTAGTGTTACACTTGTCATGGTGAAGTGGCACAGCAAGAAAAAGGGAACCATCTCCACCCTTATCTGGTCTTTGCTGCTGAGGGATAGAGGCAAGTTCCTTGACAATGGGGACAGATTTTCTCAAAGATAGCATTCTGCTGAACCACACCAAGGCCAAATTGCAAAACAGCCCACTGACCGAAAAACTATGGCAGGAGGAATTAAATCCACCTAACTCATAAGGTTTCCACACGTTCCTGTAACGCTGTGGCGTTATCACCGTATGTTGAAACGTCGCGTGAGCCGCTGAGTGCCGTCCGAGAGCGAAGATCCGCCCCCGGGAGGCCCCGTGGCGAGCGGGCCGGTCGTTGACGTCGCGGTATCCACCCTGCGCCATTTTTTTTTAACACACTCACCGCATTGCAAAACGTTCAATTTGTGAAACGCGTTCCCAGGGACTCTGCAGCGTGTGTTATGTAGAGTACGTGCGTATCAACCACAAGGCCAGGCATTTTTAGTTTATTTTGACCACATTAAATGGTGCGCTGTGACTCACATCAGCTTTCGTGGAGCGCCGTGCAGGTGCTGCGGGTCGGCAGAGAGACTGGAAGCGCGCACACTGGTACTCAACCGTTCGAGGTCCTTCGCAGGGCCTTTCTCCCTGTGCGTCTCGTCTCGCCGGTGCCTCGCTCCATTGTCCAACATCGTGTCGGTAAGCGTTGGTAAGGCCATGTTTCGTTTTTTTTTTTTTCTCTCTTATTCCAGCCTCTCTGACGACACAGTGTTTAGGCGGTGCCTTCCAGACACAACACCAGATTCCACATCACCTAATAGTTGCCGATGGGTGATAGTTAATTAATCTAATTGGTCAGAGATGCCAGTCACTATGAAATAATGGTTCTCATTCACTGTATGCTGTTTTTGTTATGCACTGAACACTCTTGTAAGTTGTGGTTTATCGATTGCGTGCCTTATAAGAAATTCTCTTCCCAACATTAGTCTGATTAGATGGTTCTCCATGCATAGACACTAGCATAATCTCATTTGCATAATTGATTCTGATTGATACTGGGCACAGATACTGTATTGCTATGTCCTGAAGGGAAGGTATTCAGTAAATTGCACTGTTGTGTTGCGTAGTACTCACTGGATTTGGCTTATCTAGGTTGGGTGGGTTCTGCAGTTATAGGGTCTACAGTGGGATGAGCATCACAGGGGCATGAAGCTGGATTGCAGTATTGCAGTGCTGCTGTACTTTTAGCAGTATTATGTAATTGTATTTTTATAGGCTTTGCTCGTGAGGTGTGTAGGTCAGGTCAGTGTGGTCGGCTGTCTTTTTTTTTTTCTTTCTTTTGTACTGCAACAAATGTACAGCAAGGCCAGCTGAATCCTGCACTGGATCTCCTTTCGAAGTGTGAGCAGCTGCGTGAAGCCATGCCTCATTTCTACTTAAATTTGTGGCGTATTAAAAATCGTGTTAATGAGGAAACATGAAAGCGCAGGACTGATGTGTGAATGAGCCCAAGTGTGAAGTGCCAGTGCAGGCCTTAAACGGAAACTGACACTTTTTTTATGCCGTAGACACCATTGGTTTAGAAGTCTGGGACTGTATTTTAAAGCCCTGCTGGTTTCCTTCCATCTTTTTTACATTATGATGCATGACAAGCGCATGTTTATCAGCACGAGTGATTCATTTTGCTCCCTTTTGTGTGCTGTTGGATTCACGTGGATGCACAACTTTTGGCGGGGGGGGAGGGTTAAGGATGGTGATGGGAGATGCTTCCTGATGGCGGGGCTTCCGCTGGTTAAGGCACAGACTGCACCCCGGCTGGTGCGGAAATGGTCACTTCCGTTTAGGTTCAATGAAGTTGAAGAGCTCACCTAGAAATGTCAGCACAGTGATGGAGCTGTGGGGGATGGGGGTGGAGTTTGGGGAGGACAGCAGGAGGCAGTGTCCCGCCCCCCCCTTGTCGTCTGAGTGGAAATTGCAGTTAATCGGCATGTTCTATGCTGGCATTTTGTACCTATGAGTAATTTTGTTGGTACCCTATAGGCAAGTAATAATAGGCTTTGTGTGCATCAAACACATACATTAACACATGGGGTAAGCAAGGTGCAGCTTTTTTGTCCCCCCAAGTGCATCCATTAAACTCCACCTGTTGGGGGAGGGCTTGCTTTCAGCCTTGCCATGTCCACTTCCACGTGCCCTCCCTGGGAAGATCTGTCTGGGTGGCTGAGCGAGGTAGGAAGGGGAGCCCATGATCAGCTAGTGGGGTTCGGTGAAGCAGTGTTGGACTTTAGTGAGTGCGGCAAGGCGTGTGCGTGCTCTGTGCAGAATGCAACCCCCCCATTCCTGAGCCTGGCACACCACTGCTCCTCTTCCAGATGTATGTAATCCCTGCAGTAGTGTTCCCAAATCCAGAGACGCATCGGAAAAGGGGCGACCTTAGTGCTTCCCTCTAAAGGACTCTTTATACCCCTTTGTATGAATTGTAATAGGTGTCCAGGGTGAAAGAGCTTCATTATATATTAGCCCAAGTATTTGGCCAGAGATTAAAAGGTTTACACAAGGAGACACATCATTTAATCCTGGAAAATCCCTTTGTAGGATAGAAGTTAAAGAGGGACTGAGTTATTTAGGTTGTGCAGGTGTAGTGCTTCAGGGACTGAGACGAATGTTAGTAGTGCAGGACCGGCATCCAGCCGGTAAGTCACTGAACCATACTGAGAGTGTAGTTGGGCTGTACAGCTCTTACTCATGGCGATGGCACTGTAAGGCACAGTGGGCGTCCAAGCTCCACGTTCCTTCTCGCTGTCCCACAGGCAGTCAAGTAGAAACCTTGGGGGAACATGGTCGTGGGTGGGGGCACCTCTCCGGCCTCACTCCTGTTCCCTCAGGGACTACAACCAGATCGACTTGTTTTTCTTAACTTCAAGCAGATTGTGTTTCGCTGTAAATTCCTTGTAGTGTTGGTATGTTTTTTTTTTTTCCTTGAATGATCTTCACCTGGAAATATTGTTGCTATGGTGCTGAGAGTGTGTTCCTAGGTAGCCGTCTGGATCACTAGTTACCATGGGTCTGAAAACCAGTCTCTGCACTGGCTGATATTCGTCCTACATGAGCTGTCAGCCCCATAAATGGCTTTAGATTCAAACTGCTGTCCCAGCTGTCCTCAGTGTGACAGAATGGGCAAAATCAATACTGAAATAAGTATCGTCTTGGCTCCATAGTATGTGACATAAACATAAAGACCGATGTCTGCCACTGTCTCGTTGCGGCATTTAGCATTCATTTATTATTTTTTCCTCTTCACTCTGCTTGACCCCATGCAGCACACAGAATCAAACAGGAGGAAGGGACAGAGGAACAGAGTGACAAAAAAACAGCAGACCTGGAGGAGACCACCCAAAGTGGGGAAGAAGGATGCGAATTGGAGGAACCAGTGACGGACAGCCCCAATCACCTACCAGACGGGGGCACGGGGTCAGATGGGCCGAGTGATGGGGGGATCCGATTGCCCAATGGTGAGTTATGGTGTATTCATGATATTAACAGCTATTAACCGGATATTTTCACCTCAAACATTACACAGTCAGTACTGTAACCAGAGGTCATATTTCTGTATTATGTGTTTTAGATGTGATTAGTGTCCTTATAAATAGAAAGCTTAAGTTGTTTGTGTGTTATTTTTTACGGTTTGTTCGTATGTGAATTTTGTTATCTGAGTACTTGCCTTTACAAATGGCAAAGCCGGGGACTGTTGGCCATAGCAACACATGGGTTAATAAAGCTTCGTCGGTAATGACGACCGTAGGGTTTTCACTAGGTGATTCTTTTTCGAAACCCTCGCTTGAAATGGGTGTGGAAAGGGTTGCTATTTTTGCGTAAGTGTTTAAAGCCCTGGAATCCTTGTGTAAGTAAATATCCCAGGAATCTCCCACAACCTGTTCCCTGCCCCAAACTGACATATCCACCTCTGGCCCAAGCTGTAAGAGCGGCAGGCTTCTATTTCAGATTTCCGAACTGCTGAGGCGGGGGGTGGGGGTTCAAAATTCAGCCAGCTTCATTCTCAAGCTCACCGTATATCCAGAATCTGGATAAAATTATTATTATTATTATTATTATTATTATTATTATTCTATTTAATGATGTTTGCATCTTTGTACGATTAAAGTTACCTGACACTAGGCACTATGCTCGTCAGCTAGGACCCAGCAGGCCACTTCTTAGGTGCCTTGCCCCCACGACCTGGTGTGTCGCTCTGGATTCGTGAGGTGTTTGTGGTGAGACCACCCGCTGATGGGGCAGAGAGCTCCGTTTTTCCTCAGAATGGACGTGAAACCTCCCTGAAGCCCCACACCACACGCTCAAGCCCCATTCTCGCTAGCTAGCTTATTCAGCGCCCCCGCTGGTGTAGAATGTGTCAAGTGAACATCTGTACCATACACACACACAGAGGGTATTTTTAGAGTAAACCAATTATACAGGCCCTCTGCTTTAAGGATACCTTTAACGCTCCCTTAACTGGTGCGATTCTGGTTGTACGCAGCCGGGTCTGAAACCGGCTCTATGCCCCATTTTCTGAACTGGGATCTAGTGCCAGTTCCAAACAGAAATCCAATCTGAGCTTCAGGATCCTTATTAATTTGGTCCTCAAAGCATATGATGGGGGCCTGTGAGTGTTTTCAGTGGGCTAAACCCCTGTGCCCGTGATCAGAAGATCACCAGTTCGACCCCCGGCCTCAGCAGAGCAGTCACGTGTCTTTGGGGCCTTGACCAAGGCCCTGGAGCAGCCCACCCCCAGCTCCAGGGGTGCTCCACGTTGGCCGGCTCTGTGCTGTGAACCCCAAACTGTGGAAGCAAGATGGGGGAGGCGAAGAGGAGAACTCCAGTGTACCTGCATCCATACTTATGAAATAGGGAAAGGATTTATCATTTACCAAGAAGGTTGAATGGTGCGATTGCTGCACAGTGTTATTTATGCTCAGCAGTTACTCATAGATGTAGGCAGGTTCATTGTTGATCTGCAGGCAATATGCCTTCCCAGCACAGTTTGGTTCATTGTGACTCACATATAATTTTACTATTACAGCTCTTTAATTTTGAGTTTATGAATGGTGGAAAAAAATAATTTACTTAGGAGTAAAACTGGACCCCCCCTTCCTAAATAATATTCGATTTGGATGTTCATCAAAGTTTTCTGCAGATCACTGCTTTATTCCGGGTTTGATAACAGATGTTGCTTGTGGGTGGCTCATCCTTAACCCCCCCCCCCCCCCCCCCTCACACTCCATGTCCCTACAGGTGACAGACCCTTCCAGTGTGGCCAGTGTGGTGTGTCCTTCACGCAGAAGGGGAACCTTCTGCGTCACATCAAGCTGCACACCGGCGAGAAGCCCTTCAAATGTCCCTTCTGTAGCTACGCATGCCGCCGCCGCGATGCCCTGACAGGCCACCTGCGTACGCACTCTGGTGAGTCCCTTGTCATCGATTCACTCGCCCACCGCCGCCATCGGCCATTCTCACCCGCTGCCGCCATCACCTACTTGCAAGCTCACTCGCTCCCCCTCACACCCTATTTTCACGGCTCGCATGATCTCAGGCTCTCTCACCCTCGAGTCCGCCCCCCCCCCCCCATCACACAGGCCTCATTCCCACCCTCCCTCAGCCCGGGGGCCTGTGCGGTCAGAGCCTGACGATGTGAGAGCCACAGCTGCACGGTCCTGCTTGAGCCAATCGCGGTCACAGCCTCTTTTTTAAAAAAATTATCGGAGTGCGGCAGACTCCACGACGGTCCCGTTTGGAGAAACTGGGCCCCAGGGCCGTCCTGCTCGCTAACCCACTTTCACGCCATCGCCTCGCTCAGGATATGGGTCAGGCGGTGCGAGCATCGTCCGTGGGCCCATTCCTCGGAAGCGGTTGCCCCGGGTCGGTTCCTGGAAGCAAACGTGAGGGAGCAGCACCATAAATGCCAAGCTTACTGGTCGCTGATTGCCGCCCAGCTGAGCAGGGCGACTGCTCTCTCTCTTTTTTTTTTTTTCCGTCTGTCTCGTGACATTTATCCTCCCTTACATTTCCTGCTTCAGCAGGCACTAGCCCAAAGTCAGGCGGGTGAAGTCATTTATGTGCTTTTTTTCTGCATTTAAAATGGGTCAGAAACTACAAGGAAATCAAGCCACACTAGCTATTTTACTTTAGCGTGATTTTATTTGTTTTTGTTTATAAATTGGCGTTTGCCATTGTGGTACTTGTGGTTTTTTTGCGTTTTTTTGTCTTGTGCGTTTGGATATATGCTGACTGAATATAACCATGGCCTGCACCTACAGTAGCACTTGTATTTTTGGACACATTAAGATTTGCTTCTTCGCAGAAATGCATCACAGACCCCCGTATTAATGTGTCCAAAAAAATCTTGTTAGTTCAAAATTGTTGAAAAATCTGATATTTGCAGCCAGTTTGTCTCGGCAGTGATGGGATGAATGAGGCATCAGCAGTCAAATTGTGGTTTTGTGTTTTTTGTTTGTTCATTTTCCGCTCCTTGAATAATCGGAGTGAAAGAATTTCTTCTTGTTGAATATTTGCAAAGCCTCTACCCACTCTGCAACTCTGTCCTCTGCTTGCTATGCTGTCTGGGGGTCCTGCCATAATGCAGAAAGCTGTGGTGCACCAACGGCTTCACCTGCCCAGTTAGTGCTGGTGCCACTGTTATAGGTTCAGTGGTTTCCACTGGGGACTCCAGCCGGCGTACATCCCAGATGCCTTTCATGTTAAGTTTTGGTCGTTTGCACAAAGAAGCGCAATGCAGCCTTTCTTGACAGCCAGTGGCCTTTGTTGCGTACTCAAAGAAATCCTTCAAGTTAGTCGAGGTCTTGCATTGATTTCGGAAGGGGTTTTTTGTTTTATCGATGTTTAATCTTCAACCCAGGAATCCGTGTTAGCTTTTCTTTAAGTCGTAATTTGACTAGATTTTTTTTCTCCCACCATTTCAATACTTTTTCAACCAACTGATTAGTAACCCAATTTCTGAGGAATTACAGGATTCAAATACTGAAAGTTGGATACTGTACATCTATAACTGTCTTTTTGAACAGAGGAAACCAACCCAATCAAGTTTATTCAACTTTTATATTATAATAAAAATATATATAATTTAATATATTATAATAATATATATATCAACTGGATACGTTTAGTCACTTATTGTTGTATTATCATACAAACCAGTTGCTAAAGAGGTTAGCTGGAGCTAAACCTAACACGGGATCTCCACTCAAAAACTCTGTTGACTAGCGCAACAGACTACCCCCCCCCCACTTCCGCCAGCGTTCCTTTGTGTACTTTTCCCCCCTCCTGTTTAAGGAAAACCAGAATGTCGGGACACCCCTGGCCCATCCGGCTTGCTTGCACAATCGTCGCCGCGTACCGATGGCCCCCGCCTGCACACCCACACACCCACACGTGCCGCTTTGGCCCCCGCCTGCTCCACGTGGGGTGGTGTGACATCCCGCCCAGCCTGGAGGCCAGTCTGCCGGGGGCGGACAGGACACAGCTGGGAGAAACTCCGCTGCCACTTACAGTGATCGGATCGATCAGAGGCCTTGGGCCGCTCGCAGTTTTCTTCGCACTGCAGAAGGCCTTTCTTTTTTTTATTAGTTTTGTGGTGTACATTTTCATTGCAGGAAACACTGGAGATTGTCTGTCTGAAGTGAGGTGGCACAGATCTGAGAACAGGTTCTGTTTTTGATCGGTTGCTGAGGGCTGAAGCTGCTCAGCTCAGGCCCGCGAGGAGCTGAGAGCTGGCAGCCGATTGGCTCGAAGTCATATGGAGATGGATGTGAGAGTCGCATGACGGGTACATGCCAGGATGGAGGGGGAAGAGCAGAGAGCTGTAGGCAGAAGTGTTGAAAAACAAGCGTGATGCAGTTTTATGGTCAATTGCAGTGGCACAATGTTTCCCAGAAGCGACATGTGATATAATGTTGATATAAATACAGTGTGTATATGGACTTCCTCCCAGTCCATGTGTGAACCGATTCCAAGCAGCAGTGGACGGGGCGGTGGCTGCATGAAAGCAAACCTTGACGCTTTCATTCGTGAGCTGACAACTTTTACCCAAAGTGACTTTCGCAGTTTCACCTGTTACCTGGATTTTTCAGTTGTGGAATTCAGGAATGAGTCTTGCGTAGGTTCCAGCCCAAACCTACTGGCTGACACCTGAAGTTATGTGCCTTTCCTTTGCAAGGACGGCGCCCCTTTACCGATGTGTCTACAGTGTGAGGTTCCTCAAGGCCAGTTCATCTTGTGTCATCTCACAAGCCTTGATAGTTTTATTGGCAAAGCCAGGAATTCGGATTTTTCAAGTGGTTGTATTTGGAGGGTAACATCTGTATGGGGGGGTGGGGGGGGGAAGGTTAGTGCAAAGGGGCAGTCTGTCTTCTACGGGAGAGTACCAACATCCTCTCACATGAGCTGTGAAATTTCCTTATCAAACAGCAAGTTCCCTTACCTTTTTACTCATTCGTACTAGATAGTGCATGATCTGGATGACGGAAAAGCTTAACAGCTTAACGTGTTTTGTTGTATAGATTAGTGGAAGCCTGAAACAAGTCAGCAAATTATTAACTCTAATCCCCGTATATATTATCCCATCACTAAAATGTAATTGTGTGTGTGTACCTTATATTGTGGGGACCAATTTTATAAAAATCAGTGACTGCAATCAAAAAATTTTAAATGAAGTCCTGTATTTTGTTTGGTTATTTATGGTTAAGGTTTGGACGGGTAGGGGTTAGGGTTTTACCCATAGAAATGAATGAATGGTCCCCACAAAGATGAGTAGACGTGTGCGTGTATGTGTGCATGCGCGCGCATCCAAATTCTAATAGCCAAAAGAGAAATCCCCACTGTAGCATTTACTGAATAATGTTAAGCAGTGTAAGGACTGCATGCGCTGATATCAAAGCACCTTATCAATGAACTGCAATCTGTGTAGGTGCCTGTGTGCGTGTGTGTGTGACCGCCTGTCCATGCGACAGAGGGTGTGTCCCATGCCTTGGATGGCAGTTACCAGCTGCGCTGGCTGCGATCAGTGGAGCAGACAGTTCGTTTCATGCGACGGCCGCAGCACCTCCCACTATACGCTGAAAACGAAGAGTGCCGTCCCTTGACCGTTACAACAATATTCAGAGCCATCCAGTCACCTCATTACACTGAAGGCATCACAGATTGAAACTCTGAACACCACACTGCTTCTCTGCACAGGTTACTACATTCTGTGATCCCCTTTGTGTGTGTAATTCAGTACAGAAAAACTCCTAAACTCTACCGCTAGCAGAGAGTAATGCGCAGAGTAAAGCAGAGAGTAACGTGCAGAGTAATGCACAGCATTACTTCTCCATCTAACCCAAGAAGCTTGGTAAATATGCCTTGTACACTAGTTAGTTTTACATAAAGCCCTGAAATTGTGTTTGTTGGAGAATTTATGGTAAATACCACTATTTATAGATTTATTTAAACTATTTGAACCTTTCATGTTGTCATTTTAGCAATCTGATATATGAAGTACTCAGGTTATTCGTAAAAATAACAAATGAAGTAAATTTAAGAACATTTTGATACTTATTAGATACTTTAGATACTTATCCATAAATATTAGCAGTGAGGGATAGATGACATATGAACAAATGTCACCATTATTGTCAGATGAAAACATGCTAGAAACTTTTTGCTGACCTAGTAGCTGTTTTTTTTTTTCTTTTTAAAAAAAAAAAAGAATTAAAAAAAAAAAATGCAGGAGCCAAGTGAAACCACAAAAGTCCATGTTCAATATATAACATCCCGCTACTAATAACCCATATTGTGTTCAGAGAGATATGTGGGTATTGGTACAGGCAGAATGAGAATCTAGAATCTACTTGCCATATTTTTATTACATTAATATTCCTTTTGTCATCAAAACTCTGTCACCTCGAAAGTTTTTAAAACCCTGTCGTCATCTGTTTTGAGAGGTTGCATGACAAATTTCGAGAAGAAAAACCCACAGTAATCCCGTAATAAAGTAATAATGAGAGGGACTATTTTCAGTCTGTTCTCATGACAGTATTAGCAGATCATCAGATTTAGTTACTGGTGGGACTGGCCCTCCCCATATACGCCTTACGGATTGCTTTGCTCTCTTAGCAGTATTTAAAAAAAAAAAAAAGTGTTGATTTTTGATCTAGCTCTGATTATGTGACGATCATGGTGGTCCTCAATTTTCCTGGCTGAAGATGAAAATGGCATTAACTTCTTGGTGACCTCTCTGGGGTTTGTCCATAGTCTGCACTCATCACTTGCTGCTTCTTGGTGATGAAGTTGCTTTCACTTCCTCTGCTTCCAGGACACCTAGATGTCAGCCCCAAATGATTTTTTTTTTTGTTTTTATTTCTTTTGAAACTTTTCGCTGCTCGTCCGTCTCTACGGGACAACACGCAGCTGGTCCAGCCTGCCCACTTGCCCCCTCTCTGTGACACATGCCTAACTCAGCCCCCGGACCTGCCCGCCACGCCCCATCTCAGCCAGCCTCGGCCTCCCACTAGAACGGCCCACTGAAATGCGGGTGGCGGTTTCTCTTGCTTGCGTATCTGGTGGCCCCGTTCTGGGAGCTCCGAGTGGAAATGAAAGGGTGAATCAGTGGAAAAGTGGCAGCGGCGCCCCCTCTGTTGAGCGCGCTGATGGTTTTTCCACCTTTATTACAGCTCTCGCCCTCAGCAGGTAGGGTTGATCCGTAGGCTTCACGCTGTAGTAGTGAACTCCAGGCGACCAAAGTAGGCTTTTCTGTGAGTAACAGAAACCTCTTAAGGTGGAGCCTGCCACCCACATCTTCTGGGTTTGTTTGGCAGTAGGTGAGGACCAGACCTCGAGCAGTTCGCAACGCGCTGCCCTGCTTCCTGCGTCCCCCTTCGACTCGAGTGCTTATTCATGATTCTTCCTGCCACCTTCTCCAGTCCCGCTTCTCTTTGCACTGTGGCCGGTTGACGTAGCACTGGAGCGGAGGGGGAGGGGATGGTGCATTAATGCTGACTCGGGTCTACCGTGCTTTCGCGTAATGGTTCATCTCTAACGGGCCGTTTTGTGTGTGTGTGTGTGTGTGTGTGTGTGTGTCGCCTTTTTGTTCTTTTGCAGTGGGTAAACCGCATAAGTGTAACTATTGTGGGCGGAGCTACAAGCAGCGAGCGTCATTGGAAGAACACAAGGAGCGCTGTCACAACTACCTACAGGGCATGAGCATGGACCCCTCCTCCAACTTGGGACCCCACCAAGGTAACAAGACCATGGCTGCTAAACAAAACAACCCAGGTGCAGCTGCAAATAAAATTCACTTAACGTGGACCAGACCTGCCTTTAAGGTCATGCTACTTGCAGTTTATTTGCGGGGACAGATCCGCGTTTAAGCGTCTGATGTGGGGTTCTGTGGTCAGGTTTCTCCCTGAGCCAAAGGCATTGTGTGACGTCTAATATAATCTTGCCTTTTGAATTAAATGAAAAATCAGCGCCAGCTGGAGACTGTTGAAGTTTCAGGATGGAATGAACGTAGTAAAGAGTAAAGGCCAGGCGTGTCGATTTCTCCAGCTTTCTGCCGCTCGTCTCTCACATGCCCCCCCTGCTACCCCACCCTCCCAGGGGATGTCCGGAGTGACCCCAAGCTCTTAATGGACCCCCACCCGATGGTGGCATTCGACAGGCCCCCAGTGATCGAGAGGCTCCAGGGCAACGTAGGCAAGAGGAAGAGTACCACACCACAGAAGTTTGTGGGTAGGTATCATGGTAGGCCTGCTGGAAGGACCCTGTGATCCGCAGAGCACAGCTCTGCTTCTTCCTACAGTTTTGCTATGTAGTTAATGTGAGCTAGGAAGGTGGAATCATCTTTAGAGGCCAGCTAGCCTGTAAGGCATCTGCAAAACAAGGAACGGGAGCTCACCATTAAACTTCTGGGGCAGCCCAAACAGTAATGACCACGATTATAATTCAAACTGATACTACATAATGCATCATTTTAAAGCACTAAATGTGTTATTGATTTAAAAAAAAGTCTGAAGCACATCTTGAGGTTGTTTGTCTTTCACAGGTTTCTGGTGAGTGAATAGGCATTTTTGGCAGGAAAATATGAGAGTTCTTTGTACCTTTGTGCCACAGAAATAGGTTTATAATGCCTCGTATGGTAAACCGCACCATTGTCTCATTAAGTCAGCAAAGTCTGTCAGTCACACCTTATAGCATGGACAGATGTTCTCACACTATGGCTGAAACTCATTTATGGAAGTGGATGCTTCCATGTCTTTTATTTTTATGCATGTTCCGAGGCATTTTTTTGCAGAGGTTTGACTTTTTCAAGTATGGTATCTTAAGAAATGTCCTTTTTTGATAATGTTGCCATATAGAAGTTCTAGGAAGCTTCCAGACTTATTGGCCATGCACATTTGCGTGAAGGTGGTTCTGTTTTTCAGAAAGGCTACTTGTATCAGTTGTATTTCAGTCGCATCACTCTACCAATGATCCTGTTACATACAATGTGGTTAATCTTCCTGAGGCAAATGTCTTTAAATATTTTTATTAGCATTTAGTTATTGATTATGTTATATTGTATTATATTGTCAGGATCATTCATAACGAAATTGAGTTTATTGGTATTACAATTTTTCTTGAGGATTATGATTTCACTGAGTGTATTTTAACTTTTATCAAAAACAATTTTTTTTCAAACAAGTGATGAATCTTTTAGACGGACATAAAAATTCCGCAGTTCAAATGTTTTGCTGTCTAATGACATCAAATTAAAGTAATAAGGCTTTTTGTCTTAGTGAATTTTTACTCTGCTGAAATAGTCATATGCTACCCTTTTACATAAATGTGAAGTATGGTTCTGAGGTTAACAGGTGACTTTTTGATTAGTTAATAGAGGAATATCCCAAAGAACATAATAAATTAGTTCACAGTTGATCCACATACATTCTATTTTCTCTTTTAAAAAATGCAGTTATTTTAAATCACAGCTTCTTAAAGCAATTGTTTTTGTGTTTCTGTAGAGACTGTTTGGTAACGCGGATGAAGTACTACACCAAAAATTTCCTATAGTACTTTCAAGAGTGTGTAACTTCTGTCTTTCTGCTTACAATGTCTGTTCTGGGCTTGGGTTTTGGAAACAGAAAGGAAATGATCTCTTGTAGTTGGCACATCATGATTGATAGGACAGAACCTTCTGCAATTCGCCATATCAGTCAAGATCTCTTGGGGATGACTGGTATATACCCGAAATGCCCCAAACTGATAGTGTAAAAAAAATCAGTTGACTGAAATAACTCACCATCCACTTTTTGTGTAAATGTAGGCAAGTCATATTTTTTTAAGAAAATCACATAAAATATTTTTATTGACACTTTATTTCTCTGTAGTGAGAATAGTGTGTCATGGCTGTGTCACATGGAGGGTGAAAAAAAAATTGAACAAGGCAAGAAAGTGTTTTTTCACTTTGTGGTTTGGTACACCTGAATTGTCGCCACGTCTTTTATCGAGACGTAGGCAAAAACACTCACCGCATCCCTGTTTTGCAGGGGTTAAACACTCTGCGCAGTGTGTAGCGCTCGCGTGGGGCTTTCCGTGATTAAAGACCTGTACCAATCGCAAACACGGACCTGGAAAGGTTGCACAGGCAAACCTGGACCGCTAAGTGCCTTCCGGGCCTCAAAGCAGACTGTGTAGACATTCTTTCTGTAAATCGAGATATCATCTTTAATTCTTTTTCATATATATATATATTTTTTTTTACTTTAAAAAAAATTGCACTGGCAGTTATGGTAAATGTTAGCTGCGTAGATCATGGGGCTACGCACTTCCAGCTGAGTATGCAAACAGCCTTAATGCCCGTCTTCTGGGGCATTGCCTGTTCAGTGTTCCATCTCTCCCCACAGGTGAGAAGCAGATGCGCTACAGTTACCCTGAGCTTGGCTACGAAATGGGCCTGAAGGAGGTGGAGGTCATGCAGGGCCATGTGATGGATCAGGCCATCAGCAACGCCATCTCCTACCTAGGGGCCGACTCGCTGCGGCCCCTGGTGCACCCCCCGCCGCTGGCCATGGCTGAGGGCATGCCCATGGTGGCCCCACTCTTCTACCCCATGGGGCCTCGCATCGAGCGGCCCAGTAGCCGCGAGGCCCCGCCCCCGCCACCCCCTCCTGCCGATTTGTCTTCATCTCCCAATGGGCCCCTCTGCCTCACACGCCGCAGGGTGCCCCTGGCAGCCCGGGAGGAATCGCCCAGTAACAGCTGCTTGGACTCGGCTGACTCGGAGCGCAGCAGCCCGCAGGACAGGCCAGGGGGTCTCCTGAGCCATGCCCCCTGCCCCAGGTCCAGCCCCTCCTGCCGTAAGGATGATGGCCGAGGGGCAGAGCCGCGAGGCCCAGAACCAGCTGAGGCGCCGCAGGCCGGCATGGCCGCGTTTAGTCGCACTATGTCTAGGGAGGCTTACCGTGTCTTCACCCGCGATGGCCAAGAAGTACGGGCCTTCCGCTGCGAGCACTGTCGGGTTCTCTTCCTGGACCACGTCATGTACACCATCCACATGGGTTGCCATGGCTACAGAGACCCACTGGAGTGCAACATATGTGGCTGCCGTAGCCAGGACCGCTACGAATTCTCCTCACATATTATCCGCGGAGAGCACACCTTCCACTAGGGGGGAACCCTTGCTCGTGTCCAGCAGGTCTCCCTGGCGGAGACCATGCTAGTTATCCGCGCCTTGGACACACCTGTATGATACAGGCTATGTTACATGAACCAAATACACATAATCTTGGGTCCAAAAGGACAGTAATCTGTTTCCCATGTGTAGCCATTTGAGATTGTATGACTGGAATAATTGAAGTGAGTTGTGGTGCGTTGTACTGGTATGATTCACAACCCCTTTCTGAGCACTGTTGTCTTTTGTTGTATTTGAAGTTTTAATTTTAGCGAAGCAGCTATTCATGGGGACTCTTCCGTAAATACCCGTGAACTCCTCTCTCCAGGACAGGCTCTGCATGTGCTGCCATTACTGACCAGTTTACATCTAGTGGAGCTTCCGGATCATTCCTGCATTGGCCTTCCATATTTCATTGCCATCCACTTGCACCCTTAGACGGTTCGCTGAAATATTACAAGGTCATGCCCTTTGAGACAAAACAATGAAGTGTACTTAGAGTTTCGCTATTGCCGTTCCAAAACAATTTATTCCCCTCAGTGTGGAACCAAACCTTCCTTCGTGTCGTGCTGTGATTAGGCCTTACAAGTGCCCAAGGAAGTGATATAGTCATTTCCTGTGTACACCAGCAAAGTCAATCTCTACTGTCTGTTTTCTATAATGTTTTGTTAGTTTATCTGTGACATTATGTATTACCCACTGGGATAGTAGTGCCTAAAGTCAAATGGCGAATGTAAGCGCTATAAACCAGCACTTTTCACAGCCTTCATGGCGTGATATGGATTTAGAAACCTTTCGCACATCTGTTTATGTGTCACAAAAGCTGAAACAGTGCCACGCCACAACGTCGAAAACAGAAATCTCTGTCCAACTTACATCTTCAACCTGGTTCTCTCAGCACCTACTGTAAGAGTGAGATTCTCTGTAACCGGTCTTGCAGGCCAGCTTCCTTGTCTATCTGTGCAGTGTAAACACCCTGCCATCTTGTGCTGAACATATTTCAGACATCTAGTAATTCTTGCAGTTAATATTTCTTCAGTTGATTTATGTTGGCCCAATGGTTCCAATGTAACGATCATGTTTTTTTTTTTTTTTTTTCCCTTCCCTCATGTGACATTTGCTGTTGGGTTGTAAGCCAGTGGTTGATCGGCTACTTTTGTTAGGCAATCACATGCCAGTTTTGCAGAATTCTCATGCATTGTCCCAGTGCTTGTCCATTTTGAAGGAATCACTGAGAATACCTCAGGTGAGATCCCCAACGATCGCACGGCTCGGGGGATATTCACTTACTAGTGCTGTAGCCGTTGGAGATCGCCGTAGCCTTTATCCTCCCCTGTGAATCATCTGAAATGGTGGACCGATAGATGAAGTATTATGATTCCATTGTGCCAACAGCCAGATTCATTCTGCTTCTTAAGTGGCAAACTCATATCCAGGTCAAATCGTCCGGGATTCCTTACCTAACCCTATTTATCTGCTTTACTTTTCCTCAGCCATTTTCGCCAAAGATGTTTTTTTTCAGGGTTTAACTGGATTTTCTCTTGTTGCATGTTCTGGAAGTATATTACAGAAACTAAAAGTTCTGTATTTAAGATATTTTAGCATAATGGGAAGTTATATATCTTGGGGTCTGAAGCAGTTTTTTTGTGATAAGTTAAGGCCTTATTAAATTTTTATTTATTTTTCTTTTTTCTTATAGGATGGTGTGAAGTATATTTTTTGGGTTGTTCGTAATTATAATAGCGTATTATTAAAACATAAGACTGTTTGCACAGTCTGTTTGCTGAGCCTATATAACTGCTTATTGAGAAGCGAAAAGGTTGTGTTTTTTTGTTACCAATGTGCTTTTTCTTTTGTAAAATGCTCCCGAGTTTGCCCGGTGCAATCAGTGAAGTAATAGTTTTGTACCACATGAGAATGTGTGACTCAAGCAGGTTTCCACAAGAACTCCGAAAATGCAGCACAAACACTGGGGCTTCAGCTGTTTAATGTCTGTGGTTATTGTTTCGTCCCTGTAAAGATACCTAGACCTTTGTGCCTCCCGGGTTCAGCGTAGACTATGGAGGTAGCTGATCCTCACCGTTCTCTGCTGCTTGAAGGAAGACCTCCAATGTGTGCGTGAAAATGGTCGCCACTCGACATGAGCGGATATCATTCGTTCTTTTTACTGGGCAGCTTTTTTCTGGCATATTTTATTTATTTTTTTCGTACAGATTTTTTTTCTTTAGATGTAGTAATGAGCCACAGAATGAAACAAAAAAAAATGCCTACAGTTCAAATGAAATTCAGAGTCTATCTGGAAAGAGTTTGTATTTCGTTAAGGTCGATTTGCTTTATGTTGAGATATTCCATAGATTTTTTTTTCTCTCAAGTTTTTAGCTGGTAGGTCTGCATGTGTAATGCAGTAGACATCCATATTTAAGGGAGCAGCAATGGTGTGTATATGTGAAATACCAAGACATCATATCGCAGGTTAGACTCCTGAAGCCTTTGCAGTGAGGGGCACCCGTTTGCTACCAGCACCCCCCCCCCCTACCATGAGCCACTTATAGTCTTTCACAATACAGTTTGAAAATTCATGTTCATGTCGCATGACTCAAAAATAATGGAGACCAAGAAAATGAAGTGAGCCCATTGAAATCCAGATGTGCGTTTTTAATGACAAGTGACAATTAAGGGTTTTGTCCAAATAGGTACAAATTCACTTGCAAGAAAAATGATTAAATAGACATAGCGAAGGACATTAGCCAAGGGCTTACAATATATTCATTTTTTATTTTTAAATCCCGAAGTAGACAGGTTGCTAAAGAAGTGACTGTGTTGTCCTGTCCAGTTAGAAGTCTAATGTGTTTGTAAACTTGTGAAATCCCTGTTCACATTGAAAACGAGGAATTTGAACGTTTTGTGTAAATATGTGTGCCGAATTTGATGAACACAAAAACGTGTTCTTATTTTAAGTCTTGAAAGTTGATTATACTTGAAGAGGAACCCTAGCACGGGATTTAAGAGAGCATTTAACTTTAAGTGCAATGGACGAATCTTTTTAAAAAATAAAGTGTAAATAATTTTTCAAAAAGAAAAAAAAATGGATTTTAACTACTGCTGAATGGAAAACTGGCAAAGGAAATTTGCAGTGTATTTTTGTAAAATACATAATATATGAATTGTATACATTTTGTACTGAATATGATGGCTTTATACTGTTCTAACTTTGGCTCAGAGTTCAGTGGAAATAAATATAGGGATCTCAGGTACTTTTGTCTGCAGTGTATTTCTCAATTTACTGCTGAAATATTTGTAATAAAAAAATAAAGATGTGCTAAAGAAAATAAAACTTAACTTTAAAAATTATTTGTGGTTTGGCACACACAAGCTACACCCAAAGCCCAGTAAAACCTTTCAGAACTTTACCGCCTTATGTTGTACCATGTGCATTGTGTTGCGCCTTGTTTCAGATGAATTGCAAATAAATTTTCTCAGTGTTAAAAATCAAAGTCAGGTCAGTAATTCTGCTCTTTTAAAGCACATGCTCTTCAAGTGCACGTCGTAGAAACAAGTATGCCTGCACACGTGCCTTTGAGTGTGACAGACAGTGATGACGTTTGCGCACTTGTCAAGCCTCATCAGGCTGATCATTGGTGCAAGCCTAGCACCCCTCCCTGACCTGTGGATTAGGGGAAGGAGAGTGACTTTTTTCATGGCCCCCTTCCCTTCAAGTTGCCTCTTCAGTAGGGGAGAAACTTTTCAACTTTTCTCACCCTGTCAACCTGAAAGTAGCTGAGCATGATGCATTTGTCCATGTTTTAGCTGGACCTATAGCATAGTTGTGTGCAGAGAGTTTAATGAAATGACTGATTTTTTTCATTATTGCTGTGTCCTACAGTACAATAATTTATGCAAGAATACTTGTTTGACAGTTACAATTCTGTAACATCTTCCTGAACTGACCAAAAATGAAATCTTTTTGTATCTGCAAATGACTTAAAATACTTAGGTGAATTTCCAAAATATAGTTATGTTGGTGAAAAAAAAAATTATACATATCGTGCCATAGACACAATATGATTCTTAGATTCTTTTTTTTATGCCAAAAGGTCACGTTACACTGCCGATAAATGTCAATTATCAACAAAGGGTCTACAAATAAGTAACATCTCTGGTCATTATCAGCATTTATCAGCGGTGCAATGCGACCATTTTGGCACAACGGAGCTCTGCTATCGGGGTACATTAGCTATCAGATATCAGGGTAATCTGAGTCTGGCTGAGGGCCCTTATGTCTGACACCGTTTCCAGTCTTGATATCATCCTGTGCAGACAATAGATTGCGTGAAAATGATTAGCGGCAGTTCTAAGAAATAAGCTCCCGGCTTGTAAGTCGCGAAGCAGACTCAATCAAAGCTTTTCAACCCACTCAGTCAGCCTGGGCTGTGAGGCAAAGGGCAGCCCTAGGTTTTTCTTAGGGTGGGGTTTTAATAATGTGCCCCATGTCGGCTTTCAGATTGTTGTCTATATTCTCTGTGTTTTGTTCGTTTCTTTTACCTTGTGTCACCCACCTCATGAGCATGGAAAGGCGCTTGTCTTTGAGGCCCTGACGCCTTTTCGTAGTTTTTGTTCTTAGCGGCTAAGATTGCGAAACTTGTCCCACTTTGAGCTCACAAAGGACCCTATATCCGCATTTAGCGATTTTGCCGAATGACATGTCTGCTGAAAAGTTTACTAAGTGTATTAAAAAAAAAAAAAAAAAGAATTAGCTTTGGCATTTTTTTCATTTATGCCCACAGCACTGGGCTGCCACCCTGTCCCAGTGCTGCCCAGTTTCCGGGAATAGATGGTATTCTCGCCGTGACCCTGTGTTGCATAAGCAGCTGGAAGATGGATGATTAGATGGATTTATTCTTTCAGACGACACTTTCTGACATGCAAGCAGCTCCGAAACTCAGCGGCGACGTTTCACTTTTTCTGTTTTTGAGGCGATACTTTCTGACAGCTTTGGCAGTTTGTGGGCTGGCTATCTGAAGAAAGGGTGGGATTAAGGGATCGATGACGCGAGTGGGCGCTGTTCCAGGGAAGATCCAAACATACAGGAAGTAGGACAATACCCCTTTAAGGGGAGCAAACTTAACACAGAGGGGAAACATAAAGACCACTGAAAGACACCAAGCAAATACCTTATGGACACACTCCGACCTCACAAGAAGCTCACTTCTTACTGGTCCCAACTTCAGCCCAGATGATGAAGACCTGATTGCTGTAAGTTTCACTGACTGAGAAAGAGGAATGGCCAAGCCATTTAACTGAGGTCCCCTTGCCTCACATACCCATAATGCAACATGCAATGTAAGAGTTAACCTTAACAGTCAGGCCACCACAAAGGCTTCTAGGTACAATGGTCACCGCCTGGGCCAGGTGTCACCCGTGTCGATGCAGCATTTTCTGTCAGCCGCGGGGTGAAGGAGCCGGGCTGCTACTCCGGACCAGCTGGCAAACCAGCAGCCAGGTCCACAGAACCGGCCTCACCTGCGTGCTGAAGCCACACATCTGTCAGCCATCAGGAACAATCGGACCTTGCCGTAAGCAGCAGATCCCGGGCAGAGTTTCATACATGAATCAGACCCAGAGGGTGGTGTCATGGGTATATAACCAGACATGATCAGTTCATACTAATATGCACTCCAGTCACCCATGTGGGAGATCCAGTGTCAAACAGCAGATAAATGGAGCGAAAAACTTAAAGTAACTATGCAGGGTGCTTGTTTCAGGAAAGTCTTGTATATCGGTGTCCAATGAGGAGCTTTAAATTAATCTGTGTAACTTGATAAACACGTACTATTAATAGTATGACATTAATACATACATGAATGGCTGAAGCATTTCATTATTAATCCATCCCTCTCCCAAACTGACTATCTACTGTGGAGTCACACTAACCCTGTATCAGTAAACCTTGATAGGAGATCTGCATCTCAGGACTGGGATAATAATAATAATAATAATTATTATTATTATTATTATTACCATCATCATCATAATCATGCTACTACTACTACTACTACTAATAATAATGATGATGATGATGATGATGATGATACAACATGTGTTTACAATGTGTTTCAAGGTTTTGGCTCATAATGTCACCCCAGATTGTTAGGTCTTGAGTGATTCAGACAGACAGTGAGAAGGCTTGTGAATACTAACAGTCACAGTGAAACTGTATACTGGCGGATTAGAGAACAATCACTGCTGACTAGGATTCCAGTTTTTCCTGCCCGGCGACGCTGTCTTGGCATGCTGCTAGGATTCGCTTGGGCTGGCCCTCGCCATGGCTATTGTACCTGAGACCACACCCTACAAACAGATGCACGGCTTCTCTCGTCTGCTTCCTTTCCTCGAGTGCTTACCAGCTCACCACGCGTCCCAGCTCTACATTTCCACTGTGTGTGTGTGCGCGTGCGTGCATGTATGTGCGTGTCCGTAACCGCAGCCGCATGGAGAAGAACAGCCGAGAAATGGCACTCGGACAGACGAGGAGGGCACAGGGCCAGGGTATTTCAAGGATTGGTGAGAAAGGTTGCAGCTGTGGGGGTGGTGTTTTGGGGGATATACTTGAAGAGATGTGCCGGGAGGCAGAGGGAGGTCTGGGCGGGGCACTGGGAGCAGCCCACTGGGAAGCAGGGAATCCAGCTATACTGGTGTGGGCGGTTGGCTCTCCCTACCTCGGAATCAGCCAATCAGTGTCCCTTTCCACAGGAACCTCAAGGCATAAGGCCCAGCGACAAGCAGCTTGATACTTCCTGCTACCACAAGTCCAGTCTTTAGCAAGCGTGTCTAAGGAAACTCAAATCAGATTTGCTTTTTACCTCAGTGTTTCATAACAGTAACACTTGTGCCCCGGACCTCATTTGTAATGGATCTGAATCCCTTCCCCACTATGAATGTATGTTCTATATATTTTTACTAGAGCAGGTACAACAGAACCTCCAGGGCTTGAACATATAACCCTACTTGGCTCAAATTCGGCACCTTTAACATGCCGCTACAAAATGTGACGATTGCAACGTGTCAATAGGTTTTCCTCTCCTAAGGTCCAAGGCTGAGTCTAACAATCCCTTTAGAGGTCTTTGGAATCTAATCACTTCCGTTACAGACCCACTATAACAACTTCAAGAAAACACCCATCAAAGTAAACAAACAATTTCTCTATTATCGGTTTAGGTTAGTTTGTTGATTTATTTCCAGACTTTTCCATGACTTTAATATCTGCACTATCACAACAAAAATTTACAGGCCAATGGGAACTTTGATCAAAAGTGTTACCAGCAAAGAATATCTGCGTGACCACAAGCTGGTCAGGTTAAACGGAGCACAGGAGTCGGATAATAGCTCAGCACACAGCTGAACAGTCGTCTTCAAAATTATTCTATTTTTGAATTTAAATAAGCAATTGTTTACATTAACTGCACTTTTATAATAGTTGCACTTTTATAACTTTTACCTAAATGGTTTTAATATACATTAATAAACATTAAATGATAATAACAAACATTATAATTGTATAATCATATAATGTTTGTTTTTAATATATTTTACAGCTGTTAAGGTATGTTAGGATGTTAAGATACACTTACATGCTGCCTATGAATGTTTTATGAATGCATTATGAAGGTGCACTAAATGTTCTATGAATGCACAATGAATGCATTATGAAGGTGCTGTCAATGTAAAGCATTACCAAAAAAGTAAAACATGTTGTATCTAAAGAGGTATTTACTGTGGGGCTGGAAGCAAACCTAATCTGAACCACTAGCTGGACTCATTGAGCATCTGGGAAACCAGTGAAAAGCGGATATGCAAATGTGGTGTGTGCTACGAAAGAGGGAGCAAGAATGAGCGGGACGCCACAGCGGGGCAGGCAGGCCCGTGGAAGTGGGGAGGAAGGAAGAGAGAGAGAGAGCGAGAGCATTGAGGGAAGGAGAGCTGCCATGTCTGCACATCGGCTGTGTTTGTGTGCAAGTGTTTTTGTCTGACTGGGGGGCGCCGCTGCATTGGGAAGCGAAAGTGAGCCCTGCGGGGTATATGGGGGGGGGCTTGCAGAGCGCTGCTCCCCAGAGAAGGGTAGAGGGGAAACAGGCTGCGGTTTGGCAGAGACCAGGGTGCACAGCTGCTGATAGCTGAAGTGAAAACAGAACGGGAACGGAAAGAGCACACCTACCCAGCTTCTGGGTGCCTCTAGGCGACTGCACTGGTGTGAGGCCCTGCCCCAGCGATGCTCCTGGACATGGGGGGTCAAACGGGGAGTAGGGGGCAAGTTTGGGGCCTTGATGTAACGCATACACAAAACCAACCTTAGGAAGTGCACAGAAGTAAACATCTGCTGGATATTTGTTCTCTGAGCGTGCCAGGGTAGTGCCTGAAAGTGGCTGCCCTATAAGCGGCGGGCCTGTAAGTGCCGGGCCTGTAAACAGCAGGCCTGTAAGCGGCGGGCCTGTAAGCG